ACCCAGTTGTACTTCTAATGTAAATCAAAAGTGGTCATACCATGAAGAAATAATGAATGAAACTTTGATTATTATTTTAAAATTATTTTATACTTAATAATATTTCCTTGGTCCTCATATGCATTTACACACACATATATGATTTCATATACGGAGTATTACATATACTAATATATACTCCGTATTATATATTACTTTATCATATATTAATATTTTATGTATATTAATATAAATATACACATACAAAACTAGGCTCGTGAACTAGCGAGCCTAAAATTAATACGCTCGTATATGGCTCGGCTGCTTAACGAGCCGGCTCGAGTTCGAATTTGACTGAATTCGATTTCAGTTTTGACTGAGCGGCTCACAAGTGACTCAGCTCATTTGCATCCCTACTCGAGGTATAAACAGAAACACTGAGAAAGCCAGAAGTGAAGACATCAATTAGTACCAACGATTCATTATCAGAAAAGCCGTAGAAAGAAATGCATAACTATTACCCCTCAGTCCCAATTTGTAAGATATGTTTCATATTCACTTAGAAGCTGTTCCGTTCGTCTTAATCTTATTACTTATTCCTTAATCTTATTTTATTCAGATCAGATCAGATCAGAAAGATTCAGATCAGATCAGATCAGATCAGAAAGATTCAGATCAGATCAGATCAGATCAGATCAGAAACATTCAGATCAGATCAGAAAGATTCAGATCAGATCAGCAACATTCAGATCAGATCAGAAAGATTCAGACCAGATCAGACCAGATCAGAAACATTCAGATCAGATCAGAAACATTCAGATCAGATCAGATCAGATCAAAAAATTCAAACATGATTTATCACTTTTATTATTATATTAATTATGATTATTATATTATAGTTATTGTTAATAATATTAATATATTAATATAATAATATTATTAATAATAATATAATAATAATGATAATAATATAAAATTATTATTATATTAATATAATACTCATAATATAATATAATATAATATAATATAATATAATATAATATAATATAATATAATATAATATAATATAATATAATATAATATAATATAATATAATATAATATAATATAATATAATATAATATAATATAATATAATATAATATAATATAATATAATATAATATAATATAATATAATATAATATAATATAATATAATATAATATAATATAATATAATATAATATAATATAATATAATATAATATAATATAATATAATATAATATAATTATGATTATAATTATAATTATAATTATGATTTACAATGTAATTATAATTATAATCATCATTATTATTAATATGATTGTTGTTCTTGTTGTTATTTTTGTAATTATTATTACTTCAGAGTAATTATATATTTAAATTAGTAATTATAGATATAATTGTGAATTTGTGATTATAGAGATAAATATTATAATTATAATTACAAAAAAAATTATAAAATTAATCATAATTAAAAATATAATTACATTTATAATTGTATCTGTATTTATAATTAGTGTAATTGGTATAATTATTATAATTTTAAATTTAATTTTAATTATTATTTTTTATAATTATGATTATAATTGTAATTTTATTTAAGTTATATTTTTAATTACAATTATAAATCTAATAATTATAATTATAATTAGAATTATAGAAATATTCAAATCAGATCAGAAAGATTCAGATCAGAAGAATTCAGATCAGATCAGAAACATTCAGATCAGATCAGAAACATTCAGATCAGATCAGATCAGATCAGCAACATTCAGATCAGTTCAGCAACGTTCAGATCAGATCAGAAAGATTCAGATCAGATCAGAAAGATTCAGATCAGATCAGATCAGATCAGAAAAATTCAGATCAGATCAGATCAGATCAGAAAAATTCAGATCAGATCAGATCAGAACTTAAAAAATTCAGATCAGAAACATTCAGATCAGGTGAACGGAACAGCTTCTTAGTCAACACAAATCACTCTTAATCTCTTACTTTATATATTATTTTTTTAATCAAATTTGATTCTGGTTTTGCAACTTTGTAATTTTTTTAATGTAGTTTCTGAATATGTAATTTATTTTTTTCTAAAATAATTCAAGTGCGAACATGAGTCTGTTTGCTTTATTGTCGGTCAATCATCGTAAACCGTAAAGTGTCTTACAAATCGGGACGGAGGGAGTATATCCTAATGAGAAGAATACCAGAAGAATGGATTGAAATAAGCACGTCAGGATACTTAACACGTTCGAATGTTTTTAATTGGGCTAAAATTTGCTGTACTGATGTGTCTGGTATCTATGTATTTTATAAACGTTCAAATCTGATTTAGTCTACTCCGATCTAGTTTGGTTTGATCTGGGACCGAAAACAATTCGAAGTAAAAAAAATCCTTACTTAATACGTAGTATAAAGTTCAAAGTCTCAAACATGATACTAAATAGGTAAATATGGTATCTCACCTTTTGTACCCCTAAAAAAGAATAACATAAAAAAAAAAATCATATTTTTAGAATATGCAAACTTACAACACCTATATCAATCATTTTATATATCAATTTTTCTCTGAAGAAGGTATAGTACTACTTTCCAGTTATTCCCATTCTAATAAATGCCTTTTCTCTTGACTTTTCTCAATCTAAAAGAGGTTGTCCAACATGAGGGTACACCCAATTTCATTTATGGCCATTACGCTACGGGTATTATTGTTATGCGGTCCTTATAAGTTTCACATGCATGTCTCATTACTCATATATCAACTCATTATCATAACTCAATTTAATCTTTCGAAAAATTATGGCTCCTGGTGAGGTGCATCCTATTTTGTTTACCTAATTATAAGCGCATATAGGAATACACAAGATTAGAGAGCAAATAAAGCAATTAGAAGGTCATTAAATGTGATAGTTGAACACTTAATTAGCTTGAACGACCAGCCTACACATGGAAAGTCCGCAAATTAGATACAAATTGTTCTTCTTGCTTTACTTGTGAGGGGAGACATTGAATTAATTATTGACAAGACAATGGACACATTGATCTTATATCTTGATTGCATTTATCATTTGATAAGATGTTGGTGGTGGATGAAGCAATCCACATACCCATGCGGCACTATATATAATTGGAATGATGTGAAGCAAACCAAGAAAAAAACACAAAGAAGGGAATATCAATCCACCTTGTTACTTGTCCTATGTTGTTACACATTAATCACGAACACTTTCAAATCCTAATTAACGGGGGTTGAGTTTAATTCTAGAGTAGCATATTTAATCCTACACGATCAAGAAAATGCCCTCTACTTGTACCCTCATAGGTAGCTAACAGTTGTTGAGTGAGACGGTTGGATTGAGAGTTCAGGTTCAATCCCGCATAGGTAGCTCAACAGTTATTGGATGAAATAGTTAGATTGAGATTTCATGTTCAATCTCTGTCAACGACAGTGTGTGAGTTTTATCTGATTTGATACTCTTTGTACGCATTAGACCATGATCCTCTACTTCATACTCACATAGATAGCTCAAAGGTGGTTGTGTAAGACAATTGGATTGAGATTTCATGTTGATGAGTGTTTTATGTAGTCACACTTTTTGTAAATTTGTACGCACCAAGCCACAATCCTTACTCATGATTTATTCCAAATTTCCACCTTTTCTAAGAGGAAATGGGATAGTAACGAGTTATAGTGTTGATCGATTTTAGAAAAGTTAACCAGCCGACTAATCAGGCATTCCTCCAATATTGAGCTGGTGGGGTCGTAAGGGGTTATCTATTCTTGAGGAGCCGCCAAATGTCCTTCGAGGGTTGTTTTGAGAGTATAGGAACGGCTAATAAAAACACTATTAGTCAATTTAACTTTTTTTATTTTGTTCCACTTAAGCTGTTTATTTTACAAAAAAGTACTATATATGTATGTAGAAATTAGAATATCATTTTCAAGATCCATGGAATCTCCACTTCAGTTTTACACCCTCTTGATTGTCTCTAGACCAAAAAGGGTGGATCATATAATTTAATTTGACAAATTCAAGTAGTGCTCCAAAAAGCCTAGTATACTATACTTAGGGTGGAGTAGAGTTAAAGTGATTGAGTTAAAGATATTTGGAATGATATTCATGTTCATGCATTATCGATGGTATTGTCAAAATGTCAAATAGTGATTGTGATATATGTATTGATTGATAAATAATGCAAGTATGAAGTAACTCATGCTTTATTGATTAGCAAGTCATTTTTTGTTCGGGCGGATTTTGGAAAAAGAGAATGTAATGGAGCAACGAAAAATGGTTCAAAACGCATTTTACAAACTCCTTGGCTTGAAATTAATGTCATAACCCCGCCAATAATCGTGTGGTTGGCAACTTGGCATTCCTAACTCAAAAGATATTTTTTGAGTTTCAAAAGTAATTATTAATGTTTGATTTAGTTTTTTTTATATAAAACTTGTTTTGATCAATTAATGTTAAAAGTTACGTATTTAGAGCCCGTTTGGTAATACCCACCCGACTGCATTGGCTAATTCTGCCGAATTTTATGAAGTTCTGGCTGAAATGGCTGGATTGACCGATTCTGTTGATTTATAAAAAGATTACATTTAAAATATACTTGTATATTATTAATTAAATAAAGAAAAGTTATATGACAAAATAACTAAAATGATTCTCTACATTAACTTTAGTCATACACTCATAAAAGTAATTTCAGTCTTACATTTTCTTATTATTACATAATCCAACACGCGAAATCAAAAATTACGTCTTTGGTAAAAAGTTGACTGATAAGCTTAATAAGTCAAAAAATGGGATCACCAAATGGGCTCTTCGTGTAACTATTCAAAAAGATGCTATAAGGGCTGGCCCAAGAGAGGGGCAACTGTCCCATCTCACAGGGCCTCAAAACATGAAAGGTCCAAAAAAATACTCCGTAATACGTAGTAGTATTTGGCAGGTAGCCCAAGTCCAAAAAATAGAGAACGATAATTGTAGATCAGGCCCTGCGTCTGAAATAAGCAAAGAACTGTAGAAGCCTTCGGCAATTGAAGACCAGGCCCTGCGTGGACCACTGACCTCACCGCAGTCCAGGGCCAACCGGCCATGGCAACCTCCGTCTAGGATTCTAGGGCCGCCAGCACCGCACGTGCGTCCGCATTCCGCCAGTCCGCACCAGCCACCGGCGCACCACGACTCTGCGGTCTACGGCCTCTGCTGCTCACAGCTCACTGCCGTTGAAGGCCTGAAGCCGTGACCCCAGTAGTCCAGTGAACTGTAAAGCAGCCAAGCAGGTAAGTTTATGTATTTTAATTTGTGATTTTCTTAATATGTGTGGATTATTATTTATTAATCCTCTTCGGTAGCAGAAAATAATTTAAACACTCAATACTTTACTTTATATAAAAAGTTATATAAACGATGAGACATTAGCCGAGTCTAAGTTTTGGATTCATGCCACTTCCCTTACACTGGACTCTATCAGTTACAGATCACAGACCACGGAAAAGATCTAGAACACTACCTTTAGTTGACATACCTTCCTTTAGCTCCACGATCGCAAAGGTCTTATGCCTCAAGCACTACTGGTAAACACGTGACGTGACATGGAGAGAATAACACTGAAGATGAGTTAATGTGTCACCCATCATACTCTAAGGCGTGGAAACATTTTGACCAGTGTTATCCCCAAAATTCGCTATAGAGTCACAATGTTCGACTTGGCTTATGTGCAGATGGTTTTGCTACATACTGTCAATTTGGAAGTCAATTCTTTTGTTGGTCAATTATCATCACACCCTATAATTTTCAACTAGAGGTGTGTATGAAAAATCATTTCATTTTTTTGTCCTCAACTAATGTGCCCATGATCAGATAATTCAAAGAAAAGACTTGATGTCTATTTGCAATCATCAGTGGAAGAGCTCTAACAGCTATGAGATGTAGGTATTCCTACATGCTCCCTCCGCCCCATTGGATTCCTCCAACATTCCCTTTTTGATTGTCCCAAAAAAACTTTGCCACTTTTCTATTAAAGCAAGTAATTTGTGGTTCATTTAGAAGTCAATTCTCTTTACTCTATACAAATCTTAATTAAACAGTTTTTACTTTTCTTATTTCTCACCTACTCTCTACCAAGACACATGTAGTATGATATTTCAAGAGATACAATATTTGAATTGAAAGTTGCCACTATGTAGGCAATTAATGACTTTCCTGCATATGAAATGCTTTCTAGATGGAGCACTGCAGGTCTCATGGGCTGGTCTCATGGGCTGTCCTGTTTGTATGAAGAAGTCAAATGGCTTTTGGCTAAAAAATAATCACAAATCGTCTTACTGTCATTGTCACTCAAATTTTTCCCACATAATCATTCATGTCGAAAGGATAAAAAGTCATTCATCAAGTTTACATGGTATCAAATTTATAATCGTGTTCGAATCATCCATTCCACCATAGATGATCACTAGAGTATCTGATGGTTATTTGACTCATCATAGTTTTATATGAGCCTACATTAAAGTAATTTGATTTTTCCCATTAGCATTAATATTATTGTTAGTATTGATCTCATCTAAGTAGCATCGAGACGGAAACAGAAGTAGGGATAGAAACGAAGAAGAGAAAACTCTAATCCCAAAATATTAAAATACATATACAACATAAAAACATCGAATTAGAAATTAAAATTTTACTAAAATAATTAAATTATCATATTTAATGCATTAGATTACAACAAAAACTTCAAGCAGATTTTGTTGTAGATTCCCATTGTTCTTGTGAAGTAGCTGGTGACAGATTCGCCACCTTTCATTTCCAGTTTCAAACTCCCTTTTCAAAGCTTGAAGTTTTCTGGATCCACCCTCGCGGAGCATTGATACTTCGTCTTCTGGACTCATACTGCGTTTGCTAGTCACTGAGTCTGTGATGTTGGAGGCTTGAGAGTATGCTTGCGAGTGAGTTTCCCGTCCGCCTCAGTGATTAAGCTATTCTCGTCCTCTGTTTAGGTATGTTTGGCGATTCTCCGTTTCAAATTCAGATTGTGATTTAACCGATTTCCAATAGGCTTACTAACGGGCCGACTAAAGCTTGTTTTTTAATCGAGAAACAGTAGAAACTTTTTTTATTTTAAGTAGTTTTAAGTGAATGGAGAATGTCGCTTTTACTTTTTTTAAGTTAAATCATTAAATGCTTTTCACATTTTTAATAAACAAAAAAAAAACAGTATTTCATCTAACACTCTAACTTTTACTTTTCATAATAATCACTTTTCGTAATGTTATTTTGTTTCTAATATACTTGTGTGGACCTTTTTTCTATTTTCTAATTTATCGTATGATGTTGTAGATTGTTGTAGGGTCAATAAAAATAATGAAGGTTGGTGTGAGGAGATACTATAAATCTATTGATGTAGAAGCTAATGAAGATAATTCACTAAACATTGTATTGGTCTCTACTCTCTAGTAGATCTATTTGAGGAAACTTCAAATAAACTATGTAAACCCATACAGAAAAAGATATCTTTTCGAAAATTGACAATTTCACAGTGATGTCATTATCAAGTGATATCATTCTATGAAAACCCATAGGAGAATAATTATGAATTTGTGATGTTTTTTTTTGTATTTTACTTGGATGAAAAGAGAACTCTTATTCTTGAAAAACGTTTGTAATATTAATTATTTTGATTTACCTTTTTTGTGCAATTGAATTTATATTATATATGTCAAAGTTTTGGTCCAACCTTGATTGAAATGCTCGATCCGCCCCTCAGCGGGATCCCTGTGGTCGTTTATTATGGAGTATCGACCTTCACGTTTTTTTCTAAGTTCTATTATGTTCCTGCTATAATTAGCTATGTTTTGATGCGGCTAATTCATTTATTTTGCTGGTATGTGAAAAATGTGGTATTTATTTATATTCCATGCCTCATGATTCTTATCTATCATTTTTTGCATACTTCCTGCATTTCCAGTACTAAAATGAATACAAGATAGGTACTGTATGTTTTAAATTTCTATTTGTTGCTTTCCAGTACTTTTATCAGTTAATTGTTGTTTAATTTAAATGGTTTTTTGCAGTTTCAATCTATTTATGAATAGATGAAACCAAATCAAGCCTTTTAAATTAAGCCAAAATAGACTAAATAAAATATTATGAAACCGATCCAAACTGATGCAATACTCCACTTCTGATAGTTATGGGGAAATCTGGCGATGAATTGTTGAATATTAAAACTGAAATCGTTGAAACTGAACAGAAACGATACAAGTGAGGCAAATTCGAGAGTGCCTCTGTTTCTCCCAAGTCCCGAGTCCAGATCCAAAGTTCTGCCTACCCTCTTATTCTACTCCTCTCCTATTTATAATAAATTCCCTTATGGGCCGGCCCAAGCTAACTAGTACCTAGCCCAAACCCTTATTTATACAATATTACACTCCTTAATATAATTCTACTAGTATTATTATTATTGGAGGTCCATGTTCCTATCATATCTTCCCCCTTGAACAACCACCTTGTCCTCAAGGTGGGTGATAGGAAACAGCTTTGATCTTCAATTTCATCTTCATCCTCGCGCCTCTCCCTTCCCAGTATCTCCCTCATTTCTGAGCTAGGAGCTTCACCTCTTGAACCTTCATCATCACTTCTTCAGCCCCAATTTCCCCTAAGATTTTCACAGCTTTGCGGCCATTACTTGCCCAGAACCTAACTGGATGAAGAGGGCCTCCAGAGGTAGCCTTAGAGATGGCCCAGGCAGCCTCTTTCTTGATGTCAATTTTTGCATTTGGAAGGAGATGTACCCATGGAACAATGATAGATGCCTCAATTACTGATTGGAACTTATCCTTTGGTCCATCCGATATATACGAAGGTGCCCAACAAGTATCTGTCATAGCTTCTTCCTCAATTATATGGATTAATTCCTGAAGAACTCGCAATGCAGCTTTGACCAGGTCAAGTGGTGTTTGTGGCTGGCCTTGACAGATATTTAACAGAGTCCCTATAGCGTTTCTCGACATAGAAAGCTTTGCAGGCTCATTCAACTGACCTAGCAATGGTACAAATGAACCATGACCAATAACCAGATCCCTACAGGTTGGAGCATCACCAGCAGAACCCAATAAGGTTGTAGAGGATTCAAGAGCAGCCTGCCATGCTTCAGCACTAACCTGCCATTTGCCTTCTAAACAACCTTTACCAATTCCAGTTATATTCCAGAAAGTTATAGCTGGTTTATGCACGATGTCAAGCCCAATAGCTGTAGTGAGTTTATCTTTACAGGAAACCTGTCCCATAATTGCAAGGGCGTATGTTACCCCACAAAATCTTCCCATCTCAAAATCATTAAGTAATTGATTTGAATTAACACTGGCAGGATCAACACCAAATAATACTAAAGCTCTTTCTCAACTGCTGTGTTTCTAAGCTGAAATCTGGCGCTCTGGACGTCCTTAACATTGGCTATGATCCATCTTCCCTGCTGCTTGATATCACTGGGGTTCTTTTTGGGTGTATTCCCACACTCTGCACTCATGCTAGCACTAGATTTTCCCTTTTCAGAATAAAAAATGGAAGTGTTACACCACTTAAGTAGATTCTCTTTCTGTTTTCCTTCTTTCTTTTCAGCCTTACCTAGCTCAAGCACATCTGAAGAGTCAAAGATTTTAAATACAACTGATCCAGCCGTACTTTTCACTAATTCATCAGAGAGATACAAGTATTTCTTCATGACAGTAAGGCGCCCTGCTAACTCCCTCTTTGGTGCAACCGAATAGCTTGAGTTTAAGTTAGAGCCTGGATCTAATCCAAACTCAGACTGGGGAACGAAACCTTGCACGCCATTGTAGAACCGAACAATGCAACCGTGCTTTTCAAAGTAGATCGTTATCCATCCCTGTTCGATTAGTCCCTCAGTAACATCAGTGTCTGAACTGGTGATTCCTTGAAGCTTCTTTCCATCATTCCCCTCTTCTATTTTCTCATTTTTCTCTATACTAGCATCCCCGGCACCAAAATATAGTGAATTTATTTTCACACTGCTCAATAATTGTTCCACTTCCTGAGATATTGCAACATCATCTACTGGCCGATGCATTGAGGTAACCATATGTATAATGTCTGATTTTATTTCATTTTCTAGGGCATTGGTGAATGCTGCGTCTCTCATTCCGCCCTTAATTCCATTTATAGAAGCAGTATCCGAGCTAGCTTGAAATTCATCTATTTGTCTAGTGACATTAAGGATTTCTGGCTGAACAGAGTCTGTAACATTAGCTGTACCTGTAGAGCTTTCTGAAGTATTTGAACCAGCAATTTTATCATCAGCAGATTTATATTCCATGATAATAGAGGGTTGAGTCACCATAGAAGATTTCACGTCACATCCCTCATCACCATAGATGAACGTATCTTCAGAGGGGAGTTGTAGCTGACTCACATACTGCTGAGGAAATGACGCCAACTCAACTTGCGTAGTGTGAGAAGCTGAAATCTGCGATGAAACCTGCGAACTGGTCTGCGATGAAGTCAGCGAAGGGGGAGATTCTGCGTGCGACACGGACTATGATAATGATGAACCTTTGCTATTCTGGCAGCGTCGCATGGTCCGCGAACGTCCTCGCCGGTGTCGTTGTAGACGCAGCTTGGTGCGCATCTTGTCCAACCAGATCCTCATATCCTTCGCCCAGTCACTTTCTACGTTTTCATTGCTATTCTCGCGCTTCTCACTGTTCAAGCCGTTCTCCAGGATTGCGCACTTCCCCACCTTTCCGCGATCGGATCTTCAATGTGGTTCCTTCCCCTTTTGCGTAGACACTAGCTTCTCAATTTTCACGTACAAACCAGAGGCTACCACCTTCTGTTTCCTGCGCTGCTCCATTGTTTGTCGCGTGAATGTAGATCAAAGAATCCCTGGGGCGATGGCTCTGATACCAATGATAGGTATGGGGAAATCTGGCGATGAATTGTTGAATATTAAAACTGAAATCGTTGAAACTGAACAGAAACGATACAAGTGAGGCGAATTCGAGAGTGCCTCTGTCTCTCCCAAGTCCCGAGTCCAGATCCAAAGTTCTGCCTACCCCCTTATTCTACTCCCCTCCTATTTATAATAGATTCCCTTATGGGCCGGCCCAAGCTAACTAGTACCTAGCCCAAACCCTTATTTATACAATATCACACTCCTTAATATAATTCTTCTAGTATTATTATTATTGGAGGTCCATGTCCCTATCAACTTCTAAACCAAATCAAAACCCAAACAAAATAGTTTCGTTTTTGTTTCAGTAGCATTATTTTGAAACCAAAAAACTGGAACTGAATTGTCCACCCTTCTTGACTGCTCTCACATTCTTAATCTTAGGCTGCCTCATTTTACCATGTTTGCATTGCATCACGAATTTCATTATGATTTCTTTATTTATTCACATATACTTATTTTGGAAAAAGAATGGCAGTGGCGTTGGAAGCCAAAGATGCGATAGAATGGTCTTACAAGGGAGAAGGAGGCGCCAATCTGATTCTTTCCTACTGCGGAAGATCTCCTCAATTTGTATGCTTTTTTTGGTTTACTTATAATAACGGATGAAGATCTTTTCTATCAATTTGTTTTTTGATTAACTCCTTACTTATGTGAAGATTGAGTTCATATTCAACTGACTTCTATTATTCTACCCTATTATAGTTAGATTTGTGACCAAATTTTAATATTGTGTGAGATGACTATCAAAATCTACCCTTTTATCAATCTTCATTTTGTTGGAATACTGAGTCATTTGAAAATAAGGCAGATATAGTTAACTATATTTGATACCATGGCTGCAACCTTTCCCTTTATTCTGTGTAGGTTGGCAAAGTTTTGAGGGTACAAAAGGTTCCAACAAATGGGTCGGAATGTCAAAGTGGTCATCTAGGCTTAACTATGCATGAAAGCCATCTTTGGAAAGATGTCAAAGACCTTGTATCTGCCCCTACAAGGGAAATTGCAGGGCACTTCTTTGTCCAACATGTGATGCGTCCATTATTGGGTGCTAAACATGTTGATGCTGGGGTACGTTAGTATAAATTCTGTCAATGATTTAATTCCCAGTGGTCAACAAAATGGTTAAATGTGTTCTCTTTTCTGGTCTATGAATTGTCAGGTTCACATCATTGTATCCAGAGAATTTTTGGAAACAGTTGAAAAGAATGCTTTTTATGTACGCCCCTCTTGGCGGGTAGATGCAACTAAAGTAAATTTCTTGAGTAGTTATGCTATTCTGATGCCCGATCATTCAACATTCCCCCATGGTATTTTTTTCTTGCCTTCTGTGTTCATGCTTTTATATTGAAACTAATGCTACTTATTGACAATCCTATGGTTTTATATACTAAATTTCTAGTTTCTATTTGAAAAAAACTACTGAGAGTAATCTAGAACTCCAATTGATCTCAAAGATGTAGTTCAGAAAGCATGTGTAGTAGGTTTGTTAAAAAGGGCACCCATCATTACTTAGAATCACATCTTTACAGTTTCAAGCAATAGGCATCTGGATTATAAAATGGTTCTGTTTCTGCTGTTGCATTATTTGGATCACATTCGACATTTGGACTGTCATTGTAATTTGCAAGTCACAGTCATAACAAGGGCATGTGCTTGCTTATTATGGATGTATTGATCTGTGGCTGATCATCAGAATAACACCTACATTTCTCTTCGTTTCAGTTGCACCTAAAGAACATTGCATATGTGTTGAGATAAAGGTGCATATATGTTTTTGGTTCAGAGTTTTTCTACTTTTTATACTTGTTCATTTTCCTACAATCACATAATATTACCTGCTATGTTCACAGCCCAAATGTGGATTTGTTCCAAGTTCTGAATTTATTTTAGAAAGAAATGCTGTTAAAAGGAGAACTACTCGTTTCAAAATGCACCAGACTCTGAAGTTTGTTCAAGGCAAGGTATTGACTATATAGTGTATATTTTTAAGTTAAATGCATTACACGTGTAACTTTAATTTTATATTTCAAAATTCAAATATACTGAATTTTATGCACCTGAAATTTCTACCTTACACAAATTTGGCACCTTTACACGTGTTATATTCTCAGTTGGCCATCTTAATTCCATTTTATAGTTCTAATGATGCTGTACAACTCTTTACTTCAACATGTTTCTCATGATCGGTGCTCTTCACCATTTTTTCCCAGATATCATATATAAGTGAATATGATCCCCTGGATATGTTTTCTGGGTCCAAAGAAAGATTGGATAAAGCAATGAATGATCTTTTATTGACCCCACAAAATAACTTCCGAGTTTTTCTGGATGGTTCTCTCATATTTGGCGGTCTGGGTGGTGTTGCGGAACCTACAACATCTAAAGTTTGTGAGGCATTGGAAGATGCACTTAAGAATATAATTTTGGCAGAAGAAGGGATGCGTACTAATTGTTTTCTTGAGCTCATCTCTGAGGCAGTTTTAAGTTCAGGAGTACTAAATAGACTTCTTGAAGTCCAGAAGCTTGACGTTTTTGACATCGAGGGTGCAATTCATGTGTATTATAATTTTATTTCACAGCCCTGTATGGTATGTAGAGAATTGGGCAGCAGCTTTTCAAAAAGATATGACACCTTGCATTCTATTTCAATGGAGGAAAGTGGGAAGATATTGAGGGACTTTTTAATAGCTACTACTGCGAAGGACTTGGGTGTGATGATTAGCTTCAAACATCAGGAAGATGGGAAAGGGGAGTCTTCATATAATCATGTCTCCTTAAAGTCAACCAATCAAAATTTTGATTACAAGGTATACCACATTTCTCTTTTGCAATTCGAACTCTTTGAATCTGGTTTAAAACAGGAATCTTTATTTATTTTTTTTAATCAAAATTCAATACACCCAAATATATCCAATATTCACTACATAACTGAAACAATGTATTGTCCATCTAAAGACACGTTGAACAAGGTGTTCAGCCTATTACACGTGTTTAAACAGTTTAAGTGTTAAGCATTTATTATGCCTGTTGATAAACTGAGTGTGAACACATTTCCCTTTAGGTTGTGGATATACTCTGTGTGCAGTCTAAGCATAAAACCCGCTTTCTTGAATGTAATTCTAATTGTCAGGCTCCCCTTTTCAATATTATTTTCTGTACCCTAGCTGTTTAAGTGAGTGTCCACTTTTCTAGTGGGCCGTCATCAGGCGAGGCGCTATAGAGGTGCAGTGCCTAATACTCTTCTAGGTGAGGCTGTCTGAGTGAGTCACGATATAAGCGCAGGCAGAGGCGCAGAGGTGCACGCCTGATTCGCCTGGGCTATAAAGGGTTCTGAAGTTTTTTTTTTGAACGAAACTGGGTTAACTAGACCAAACCAAAACAGGTTACAAAGTGACAACAAGTCTCCTGTCTACCGTCCACCCAAGGACCAGACTTTGAATTAATCACCTCCGGAGAAGCCATATAATTCGCTGATCCCGCTTCGGGCTTACCTGAGCCTATGACTTGCAGACATGACTCCTCATCCCGTCTTAGTTTCAAGAGTTTTTTTGCTGGAAAAACACAGCATAACTAAAACAACAAAAACATCCAAAACGTGGGAAATAAATAAAGCAAAACGAAGAGAATAAAGAAGTCTCTCGGCTAACATAACCGTTGTCAGCTTTAGAACGTCTAGCGGGGCTGGAGTGCAGCGCCGGCCCCAACCCTGTTTTTTGTGGAGTCCAGCGTCATAGCATTCTTTGTAGCATCCTCCTTGGCCTGTTCCTCCCAAGTGCGTCTTCTCTTCAGCTCTCCTGGTCCTCCATCCCCTTGTGTCTCACCTGAATTAGTAGCATTCCCGTTCCAGCTTGAGTGCTCTCTCCTGTCTCATCTGGGTCCATGTCCTGCACTGACCTCACCATGCGTGTTATATTCTTGCCACCTCCTGAGGAGCTCCCTTCCGAAATCAACCATTTACAACCTATAGTAGGCTTTGATTTCCGTCCACCCGCTCTTAGCCACGGCCCAAAAGCCTAGTCAAAGCTTGACCCTTTTCTTCGTACAGAAGAGGACATAATTTCTCATATTTAAACTTGGGAGCTTCTCATATTTAAAGTCTACCCAATGCCCTTCTCCCTTGCTTTTCTTAGAGTGGTCCCAATCTTTAAAGGTTTACTCACGTTCATGCGAACTCTCACACGCATATAAGCTTCCCTCTTTTTATCAAATTGTTTATCATCCCAAGTGACAAATTCACCCAGATGATTCCCACTTCTTCTAGCCGTTCCCAGATTATCATAACTATACGGCACATTGTGAACCTGTACCCAGATCTCAAATGCATCTAGCGAAACCTTGAGTGGGATATCACCCGGTTTAATAGCTTTTAACACAAACAAATTCTGATAAAAAAGCCAGGGTCCACTATCCTGGACACGATTCATTTCAACAGAGTGGAAAAATTGAAGTAGGTACCTCATTTCACCAATCTCCTGTATCGAGATTCCTTTGCTCGGACGCCATAAATCTGCCATGAAATCCCTGAAGAACGGAAAAGGAACAACATTGTCCGTGAGAATCGTCCCAACAACCGGAAACTCCTCCGGCTTCGCTGCCCCGATCGCCGCTTCCCCCTCCTCTTCGTCCTCAAGCAACAATTCGTCCTCGATTCCCCCAATTCCCAGGCCTCCGTATTTGTCGACGAGGTTATCCACCACTTCGCCCTCATGGTCTCGATCATCCCTGCGTCTCTCTCCTGCTTCGTCCTCCACCTTCTCGCTACCACAGTCGTCCATCTAGAGCAATATGACGCAGTGCTGTGTCGATAAAGAGCGCCGCACCAAGACGGCGAAAATCGAACCCTAAGCTCTTGCTAGGGAAAATCTCCAGAGGGAAATTGGGGTTCTGAAGTTATTAAAAAACAGATTTGGGCCTATTTTAAATACACCCTTATCAATAGTAAGATATAGCCCATTCAACTAATAGGAAAAACACAACTTAAACCCTGTTAAAACCCTTCTTAGTCAATGTATTAAGGAATCAGCAGAAACTTAGAAAGTTTTTAGCATTGCATTCTTATTTCTTGTGCTTGACCCGCACCCTGCACAACAAGGAGGTGACCCTCCTATTTTTTTTATCTTCTTTCTGGCCTTTTATAATTTATTCGCTTCTTATTTTTCTATTTTTTGCCTTTTGATGTAAAATCTATAGCTTCTTTATTTTTTATCTCATCATTCAAAAGTCTGCACCTTTATCTTTTTTTTTTCCCCCTTTTTCTGTCATTTTCTTCTTCTGTTTTATACTTTATGCCTAACGACTAACAAGTTTCTTTTTTTTTTCCTATGGCCTAAATTTTATTGTATGTAGATGGTGCTCCTGACATTAGTCAGGCATTGCGATCCTTGCGCCTCATGCGATTTGAGTCCTCTAGTGCCTTGAGTGCGCCTCGCGACATTGCGTCCCTTGGCTGTCACAGACTAGTGCCCAAAGCCTGCTATTGAATGGAAATAATCCACCTTGTCCAAGAAGCTGCCAATCCAACAGGATGGGGCATGTAACTAAACTGCTAGTGAGAAAATTTACGAATGGACTGACCTGTCAAAATCCAAGTGCTCTCTAGCACTTGGACAAGGTGGATTCTTGAAAAAAGTCATTTTTGAAAAAAAAAACTGCTGTAACCTGCTGCAGTTAAGACTGCACTTAGAAAGATCTTATCAAGTAAAATGCTGTTGGCTTCATCATTTTTTAGTTCCAGGATGTTAGATCATTTCTATATATAGTTGTTAGTTCTGACTAACATGATGGGGAGTAACTAAGATTGTCACTTGATCATGTTGTCCTTATAGATTACCTGTGTATATATCTTTTCTTGTTTTAATGATCATTATTGCTCCAAATACATAGGTAGCTTTCATTGATCTGGACCTGAAGCGTTTGGATAAGATGGAATTTTACTATGAGTTGGATCAGAAGATTGTTAGCAGTTATTTAAAGATGGTAAATGCGGAAAGCCTTGGCAGAATGCCTCAATTGGACACACCATGATAATAATGGTAACTGGTTGTTTTGTTTGAAGCTCATTTTTTGTTCATTAATTCTGGATGTAATTAATAGAGAATGATGGAAAACAAGACATATAAGGTAATTTTTAAAGGGGTCAGGGTGGGCAGTACCGTTGCAGACATGTAGCTGGGGTAAGAACAGAAACTTCAGGATAATAGGTTGATCAGTAAGTGTGGATTATATTAAGTAGCCCGTCTAAAACATTTTTAGGTGGAAATAGTAGGACTTTAATATTCAATCTTCAACATACACACCATATGGAGGGAGACACTGTAGCCAAAGTGAACAACTGAACACCATGGAGAACTTGTCTCATGATCAGCCTTTTTAGAAGTTAACTACAGTACTAAATTCTTGTTGTAGAACTTCCACTTGTCCATGAAAAGTCTGACATACTCAAGCTGAATGGTCTTGCCTTTAAAAAACACTGCATAGTCACAAATATGTTTCACTCACAAATATGTTTTCTCTTTTGGAGATTTAACTGAAAGTAAAATATTCCGCACTATTTTGCATGTTCACATGAAATTCTTATACGTAGTATATCTAATACTACGTACTTCACATTGTAACCTCTCCCAAGATCCATGGGTCATCTAACACATCCCTTGTACCCATTGAAGGGTGTGGGGTGGACTTGTGCCTTCAAGTTGCTGTCCCTTTGCTTTTCCTAGAAGTTTCTTTATTAGAAGAAATACTGTGTCAACCTTCGAGTTTTGATTTAATGCGTTGCTCATATAACTGTGCAGTGGTTGGAGATTAATAAAAAAAACTCAAGTAAGGAATAAATCAGGCTCTTCACAATTCCACACCTACAACATGTGATATTTAAACTACTGCCGCAAGTTTCCATCTCAAGACTACATCAGTTATTTATTTATTTATTTTATACAATTGGGTTTGAAGGTCATTCTTTGCTATTGATACTTGTGAGGCCAATAATGCTTGATCCTATATATAAATTCTTGATTTGAGTATGGTATGTGGTATGTACTAAATTTGTAATTTATTTGAATCGTTCTCAAATCTCAATCTGAGTATGATACATGTTTATTGTAAATTTGTAATTTATTTGTATCATTTTCTCTCACAAGTGAGTTATAAATTTGTAATTTATTTGTATCATTTTCTCTCACAACTTCACAAGTGAATAATAAGCTTGTTACCAATGTTATGAAGCAACAGTCAATCCATGCAATTTTGGACCCAATTTTCACTATTGGTCATCCAGAAACAGTCTCTCTGTGCTTTAGTACAGGGGCAAGACTGCGTACATTCGACCCCCTTACCCCACCGTAGGTGGGAGCCTTTGCGGCATTGGGGTAAATGAAAAAAAAAATTGCGGCCAATTGTGCCCAGTTGCGACATTGTTATGAAATAATATAGAGACATTGTTATGAAGTAAAATAGAAACCGTACAAAGGTGTTTGGTTCAGGCCGTTCAGCTATAGTTTAATGATTACGGGTTTCCTTCTTTTTCTTCTGTGTTTAATCTGTTTGTAACAATATAGTCGTTCAAGCTAGAAGAGTGATGGTTTTGTAACACTTCTTTTATGAAGTATTGCGTCAAAGTTTGAATCACAGAGAGGATTCTATACTGAAATCGGCTTAGGTACTGGAATCATTTGTAAACAAATGAACTTGATAATGTCCAAATGTCCAATCGTTTCTATCATTTTGTCTTTCTATCAGTTGGACTTGCTCAATGGTCTTGGACCGGTTGGGACTAGGCATGGACCGGCTCCGGACCGGTCCAAATTGGGCTTTTATTTTTTGGGGGCGGGCCAGGGACCGGCCTTGTTTGCAACCGGGCCCGGGCCAGTCCGGGCCGGTTCTTTTTTGTTTTTTGCTTTTCTAATTAAACCCCGACCCCCCCACCCCCCAAATGCTTCCAAAAAACCTAGCCCAACCCGGGAAAAGCAAAAAAAAAAATTGTAAAAAAAAGTTAAATAGTCCCGAACCGGGCCGGTTCCAAAGGAAGGGTTGGCCCGGAACCGGACTGCTCTAACATACCACGCTGGTCCTAGGCCCGGTTGCCTAATCGGTTCACAGGTTGGTCTAGGCCCGCACAGTTGCGGGTCAGGCCGGTTCCTGGTTCGGACCGACTGGAACCGGTCCATGCCTAGTTGGGACCTGAATTGGTCAGTTCACAAGAATAGATTGGTCCCATTTTAGGGAGCGGAACCGGCTGGTCTGGGCCGGTTCAATCCCAAACGGAACTTTTTTTTTTAAAGTTGTTGTTTTTCCCTAGCTATGCCATTTGTGGGCATTGTAGCCTCTCCTCGAAGGATTCTTAAATAAGACCCAAGTCAATTTATAGGAACATAGTTGGTGGTTGAAAGAGAAAATAAAGGCTTAAGGATGTTCTTATTTGGACTGTTTTTAGTCCTAGACTATCTTGAATAGACCACATCAAGTTAGATTAGACTAAATTTTTATAATTATAAAATACACAAAGATCAGACATTTATGAATCAAGATTAATTCAGACCAGACTAGACCAGTAAATTTCAATCCAAGTAAAAACGTCCTAATGACACAATTCAAAGAAACAAAAACGCTCATCGAACACTAATTATTAGTAACATTATACGGAGTAGTTGAAGCTAGGGGTGGTCTTGGTTGGCGATCTCGAGCTGGTTCGTAACCGGGCTTGCTGTTGTGTGAGACCAGACCGAGTTCGGAAAATTAGTCTTAGTGCAGGATGGGGTACCACATCTGGTCCATGTTCTGGGTTCCAATATTTGAGACCGAATCGGGCAGTTCTGGTCTTAGACCAACAAACTTTTTTAAATAGCTTCAAACCGGGTGAAAAACTATAACGGGTCCGGGACTGGGACACGATTGTCCGGCATGTCCGGGTACTCGGAACCAACCCAAAACTTGATTACTATTGGCCGGGCCTTGAAAAAATTGGAAGGACTAGGCGGTCTCGACCCGAAACCGGGTCCTAACTGACCCGAGCCCCTAGCTGAACCATACATCTTTCTTCAAAAACCCCTGCTAGATTTTTTCTAGTTTTTTGAGTTGAACAAAAAATCTAAAAAAATAAATTTGAAAATTTCAATTTATGATCCTTAGATATTTGATTATGAGTGGCCAGACTACCCAGGGGAAAGTAGTGCCAATTACACAAGAGTGACACTCATGAAACTAATGAGTGTTATGTACTGAAACAGTACGTAGAAAGACTCATTTGAGATGAGCTGCCGGATCAATTTGTGATTTGATTATAGATACAATTTAAGAAATTTTTATAAAATCAAAGTTAAGAAAAAAAAAGTAAATTAGAAGATATAATCCAAATAGTACGATATTCATTATTAGGCCCAAATACTAAACAAAATAAATACTCCCTCCGTCCCAATTTGATGATCTCATATTTCCTTTCTCGGCCGTCCCAAATTGAACGTCCCATTTCTCTTTTTGGAAAGAAATATGTGGTTCACATCATTTCACCTTTTTTACTCAAATCTCAACCATAACTTTTACCTTTTCAACCACTTCCTTAATCTTTGAGCCCAAAAGAAATGGGATCATCAAATTGGGACGGAGGGAGTATGATATTTAAGGGGTTGTTTGGATCTGATTCTTAAATCTGTTTCTGCTCATTCAGGGGAAAGTTAGAGTGTTTGGGTGAAAGTGTAGAAGTGATTCTGGTACTCTAAATTATTCCTACAATCAATTTTTTTAGAAGCTAGGTGAGATCCGTTTATGAAAACTGATTCTGATTCTGTTTCTGCTTCTAAAATTATTTCCAAACACCCTTTGATAAAAGTTCATTGATGCTCACTTAACAAATGTCAAAATTTTCCAACCTAAATTGCGAAAATGTCCAGTAGTACGGTGCAAGTCATTTAACACGATCTTAGCCTCAATTTTATCAAAGATCAACCAGTTAAACCCTCTCACAAATCACAAGTTCTCCCTAAGTCCCAACCATGCATCTTGTTACTCCGCCGCCTGATTTTCCCTTCGATCCTTAAACAACCGAGTTTACGAAAACGATGGGGTTTTCCGAAGCCACCTCGCGGCTCTCCGTTTCATCCGGCTCTGTTCTCGCCGCCGCCACCTCTCTGGCCGCCTCCGCCATCTTCCTCCGTACCATAGCCACCGACCTCGTCCCGGACGCCCTCCGCTCCCACATCTCCACGCGCCTCCAAAACCTCTTCAATCGGTTCTCCTCAAAACTCACCGTCGTCATCGAAGAGTCCGACGGCCTGACTTCAAACCAGATGTTCGAGGCCGCCACCATTTTCTTGGGCACCAAGGTTTCCCCTGCAACGCGGAGAATCAAAGTGGTCAAGCCCGAGAAGGACGAGGAATTGATCGTCACCGTCGATCGCCACCAGGAGATCGTCGATTACCACGACGGCGTGAAGCTGGAGTGGGTACTCAAATCCGCGGCCGTCAAAGTCACCGGAAAGGGGGATTCCGGTGCCGCCAAAACAGAGCATAGGTATTTGGAGCTAAGCTTCTGCAAGAAGCACAAAGACACAGTCTTGAAGGTATACTTACCCTACATTCTCAATAGGTCAAAGGAGATCAAGGAGCAGATGCGTTCCGTGAGGCTGCACACAGTGGATTACAGCGGGACGGATTACTGGAGCTCTGTGGCGTTGAACCACCCGGCGACATTCGATACAATGGCGATGCCCGAGGAGGCGAAGAAGGAGATAGTGGAGGATCTGGATAGGTTTATAAGCAGAAGGGATTATTACAGGAGAGTGGGGAAGGCTTGGAAGAGAGGGTATTTACTGTATGGACCTCCCGGGACCGGGAAGTCGAGCTTGGTGGCGGCCATGGCCAATTACCTCAAGTTTGATGTGTACGACCTGGATTTAAGGGAGGTTCAGTGCAATTCGGATTTGAGAAGGTTGCTGATCGGTTCTGCTAACCGTTCTATCCTTGTGATTGAAGACATTGACTGCAATGTAGGGTTGCAGAATCGAGAATCAGAAAATCAAGTTCCTGAGGATGACAAGGTCAGTCTACTTTCTCTGTTTTTTACTGTGAAATAAAGAACCAGGAGTCCAGGAATGTTGACTCATTTTTGTGCAAGTATACAGAAAGATTTACTCTGTATCACTTTGTATAAGTTGACTCATTTTGACCAATTCACGGAGAAAGTCCTCTCATATCCAAAATGATGTCTTCACATGCTACAGTGAATAAAATACGTAGTAGTAAAATACTTGGTGCAAGTGACACTATATTTGGTGTAAATACTTTTAAAAAACGGATTACATTCCATCCTCGAGGGCGTCCAACATGTAATAATGTAAATTGGATTTTAATCAAGCTGAGAGATAGTGAATGTGACTCTGGCTAGTTCTGGCACACTATATGCATTTTTACATAGTAACCTCTCTAAAAGTACGTAGTAGTAAATTATTGTTATTCAATAATCACAATGGTGGCACTATGAGAAATTACTATGACTATATTAATGTAATAATTGGTAGTACTTTCCAAGAATGTCAGTAAACATAATATGAAATTTCATATTCTAGAGGAAACATAATACTCATTTTGAAATTTCACATTATTTTTTACTCTATTTTAGACTAATTTTTGAAAAAAAAATTCAACTTCTACTGAATTTGGAGAAAGTTCTACTTAGTCTTTATCATTTATTTATCTGGAAGGCAGTTCTAGATCTTATACATTACACAGAGTAATTTATATGAGCGTTAAATAACTAACAATATCGTTTGCACAACCTAGAATTGGTGAATAATACATTACCGTATACACTTCAGCTGGATTGAGATTTTAATGCAATGAGTTTGTGTGTGATTTGTTTGTGGATTGATATGGATGTAGATAACACTCTCCGGGCTGCTAAACTTCATAGATGGATTGTGGTCAAGCTGCGGGGACGAGAGGATCGTAGTGTTCACCACCAACCACAAGGATCGTCTTGACCCTGCATTGCTCCGCCCGGGTCGTATGGACATTCACATCCACATGTCCTATTGCACCTTCACTGGTTTCACCACCCTGGCTTCTAATTACCTAAGGATAGACCGGCACCATGATCTGTACCCGAAGATCGAGCAACTGCTTTTGAACGTTGAAGCTACGCCGGCTGAAATCGCTGGTGAGCTTATGAAGAGTGATGATCCAGACACTGCATTAGGCAACCTCATCATCTACCTTCAAAACAAGGAATCATCGTC